ATACTCAAACTGCTAGGCTTCGTTCTCCTCTCTTTCTCATTTGAAGATCAGCTGTATGATTTTAGTATATAGGACTATAATCCTAATTCTAAGTGAAACCACAAATAACTGATGATCTACATCATATCTTAATTTTCATGTCACCCAATACAAAAATAAAAAATGAACAATAAGAATTTTTAGGAAACTTTTAGCCTGTCTTCTAGCCTTTCCCAGAATTTCGATACTGTAAGTGATAATCAATGTCCATTATGACAACCCAAAGACAGTGCAAAGCAATCGATGCTTTCTGAATTGCTACTATATTAACAAACACTTCAGTGCTAGCTCTATCTAATTGTTTCTAATGGCTATTAACCAGATTCCAGATAATTGGTTGTTTACTGCACTAGCATATTGATAACTGCTTTATGAGTTTAATGATGATTATGGAAATGAAAAAGACTACATGCAGGCAAACAGATGATATGCAGGCCTGCTCTCAGGCAACAACATATCATTATATTGTGGGTGACCCAATTTTTTTCGTTAACATTCACAATCATGGTGATGCCAATGGTTTTCAACTTCAGACACCTGCTCTCATTCCCTAGGGCCTAGGCTTTGATATACTTTCATCCCAAATCAAACTTCCTTTTTCTGGAGATAGTGTTCTCTCTCCTAGCTCCAGGAAATCTTATCCCCATAGTCTGATGAGAAAGCCAAGTGGACCATATGAAGACGTCTCCTACGTCCTGGGAAGGGGCCCAGGTTGCTAAGGAAATAGTCTGTAGGACATGGAAGGTTACCACACTGTGGTGATGCAGTCTATCAGTCAGATTGCTCTTTATGTTGTGTTTACTTTTGTTCTCACAAATTACATTAGGTAATCTCAAAGAAAGCTTATAAAAATTATAAGGATCTTTTTTTTCTATTTTAAAATGGTATAGTTCAAGTTTTTTTAATCATTTTATTAGGGGCTCATACAACTCTTATCACAATCCATACATACATCGAATGTGTAAAGCACATCTGTACATTCATTGCCCTCGTCATTCTCAAAACATTTGCTCTCCAACTAAGCCCCCAGCATTAGGTCCTCATTTTTCCCCTCCCTCCTTGCTCCTCCTCCCTCATGAGCCCTTGATAATTTATAAGTTACTATTTTGTCACATCTTGCCCTGTCC